ATATATATATAAAAATGAAGATATATATATTTAGATAGATAAATATAGATATTTGAAAATATCTATGAATATTACTGATCCCAAGTTGTTCCAACAATTTGTAACTTTTAAACGAGAGGATGATATAAATTAAGCATTTCTAATTAGCCAGAACTCGTCTTTCGCAATTAGTAACATTCAAGTAGAATATGTTTCGTCGTATTTTAGTAGTTATAAATGTTCTCCGTGTTTCTCCACTTTTCCCTATTTACTATGTTTTATATATATATATATATATTAATAATAAATAACTAATATATATTATTTATATATATATATATATATTAATAATAAATAACTAATATATATTATTTATATATATATATATTTTTCTAACACACACACATATCCACGTCGAATGAATTTTTATACGTGTAAATACGAATTTCAATGAATCCCACATAAAATTCTAAATGTTCATCATAAACGAATGCGTTAACACCTTTATCTTTTGTTCCCCCATTGATTGATCAATCATAAAATGAGATCAACGTACGTTTTATATATTATACATCATCGAGTCGAGTTAGATTTGGCAGAGAAAAAAAAAATAAAAAATAAAAAGAGAAGTAACACTCTTATTCTCACCGTTCCACTTTTTATTTCTTCTTATCTTTTTCTCTCGGTTCGTGAACATTTATACGGGGTCTTATTGGGTCGTAAAGAGCGTTGAATCTCTGGAGACTCATGCAAGTATAAACTCACCCCAAGCGGCATGCGTTCAAGGGAAAGAGAGTAGCTTCTCCCCCTACCCCCTACCCCCTACCCCCTACCCCCTACCCCCTACCCCCTACCCCCTACCCCTACCTCTACACCTTCACCCCCTTCACCATCAGCTACTGTCGACACTCGTTCGGACCTAAAATTCGCTTTTCTCTTACTCTCTCTCACTCTCTCTCTCCCTCTCTCTTCTGTTTTTTCTTTTTGTCTTTCTTTGGGTTGCCTACCCAGCTCGAATCTGAAAGTGTCCTCTCCTCTTGGACCTCTCTCCACGAAAGGAATTCTAAAAAACTCGAGCATGGCTCGACGACACTCCAGGACGTTCTT